GTTGCCGGCGACTCACAGCAGCCCAGCTCCAGGTTGAGCTGTTGTTCAGCATCTTAGCTGTGGAGGGCAGTGTCACTGGCCCTCATATGTGGTATCCGAACCGGGGCCCTCTGGCGTCCCAAGCGAGTTCTTAACCATCGCGCCACTCGGCCGGCCCAAGATAATTCTTTAGGGAAGCTGAAGTACCCCGGACACTCCCCAGAGATAAATAATTGAAAAGGAAACTCTTAAACCCCAGCACTAGTGACCCACACAGAAGGCTGCTTGCTGCCTTTGTGACATCACAGGTTGGTCCTGAATTCTACTATGTGGCATTAGGCAAAAAAACCAAACATTTTCCTTTGGAGTGACTGTAACAGATCTCCTTCTTGGCAATTACTGTAGGTGGGAATGAGAAAATTTTTTCATGATGAACAAAAGCTTTTGTGTCTTTTCCAAGCAGTGGAAAACCGCCTAGATGGACACACCAAACCACCCTGATGGAAGACTTTGGAATGTCTAATTTCAAAACCGGGCACAGGGCAATACGATGAAGGCCTCTGCCTCCTTTTTTCTCCATTACTTTTCCTCTCCCTGCTTGTTCCACTGTGCCAAATTTAAACAATCTTTTCCTCTGGAAACTTGAAAACTTTACCATAACCATTTTTACTGGTTTTAAGCAAGTACCAAGTGAATTAGCAAAAGAGTGCCGTCAAATAACCAGCTTAATGTGCTCCAGGGATAGACAGCCTGTAAAGAGACTCTTTATTCCATGCTGGCTAACTCACCCGCCTCCAGCATAGGACAGTGGGGAAAGCATGGGATGGGCTAGAATCCCAGTTCTATTATTTACTAACTTGGGACTTTGGGCAAGTTGTTAACCTTTCTGGGCCTCCATTTCCTCATCTATAAAATTAGCCTCATAGCAGCTACTCACTATGGTAACTGGTTTATGTGGATTATATCACTTAATCCTCACAGTAGCTTCTGAGGTTGGTCTCATGTGCTTTATTGTGAGGATTAAGTGGGATAGCTCAGGTGAGCCACAGATAGGTTGGGGTGCTAAAGAAAATGGTGGCCAGTTATTAATGGGTGCTCAGCTTTGTGCTAGGTACTGTGGAAGAAATCAAAAAAGTATTTACTCATCAAACACTTTTTATATAAAAAGTGGAGGAGGAATGTTCAAAGAAAGTACATGACTCAGTTTCTCCATCTTGACAGATACCTTTTTGTTTACAGAGGTTTGGATGAAGTTGGATTAAATACCCTTCCTGGCCAGATGAGCCACCAAGAGTCATGGATTTCTGTAATATTTCCCTGTTCATAGCTCAAGGCTACAAACTGGGACACAATCCTCTGGAGGGTGGGGGATGGGTATCGCTGGCATTGCAGATGACGCTGGATATAAACCAAACCAAAGGCAGAAAAGATTTGGGACATTCAAGTGGTCTCTGCAAGAGGCTTGCACTCCCCTACTGCGAACTCTTCACAGAATGGCCTCCTGCAAGTTGGCCTCCATCCACTGACTATCCCTCCCACCTCCAGTCTGTCACACATGCTCCTTGAAGAGCTTGCCAAACCCTCGCTCTTTGATCTTGTTGGCATTCTTCAGGTCATCCCTGGGTCTGGCAGAAGACTTCAATGCCCGTTGAAATTCAACTCATCTTACGAGTTCAAATAGCCCCTCAGGGGATGGTATCAGGACTGAAAGTTGGGGCTGCCTTTCTATGGCATATGGTGAAAACAGAAACTCTTTAATATGATGAGAGCTGATTAGAGTAGTTTAATCCTTACTAAAGCTATCACAAATGTATGGTTAATTTTTAAAATAAATATAAGAATGATATTTATGTAGTATGCATGAAACAGTTATGAACATAAATTAATTAATAAAAAGTACTATACACCAGATGTCAGCTTATTGCCAGATGCCAATATTTATAACCATATGTATCTATATCATACACATACCCTGCTGCCTAGATTAACATGTAAACACTTTACAGTTATATGATTACATTGGATTTATAGATTTATATATGAAAAAAACACAATTAACCAAGGGAAAAACAATAAAGATGGTTGAGGCACTAAATAGCCTAAACAATAAAGGAATACCAAAGACTAGAACACCATACCTAAAAGCATTAATGATTTAAAGTGAGAAATGCAGTGCATAAAGGCTGCACACTGAGGTTTTAGGCTACCATGATTAAAAGGAACCCTGATTCCAAATTGCAATGAAATAAGATACAATTTTTTATCCACTTAATTTTACGGAGCGACTGTTGTAACAACAGTAGTACACTTCCCCAAATTCATGTCCACCTGGAAACTCAGATTGTGACCTTATTTGGAAAGAGAGTCTTTGCAGTTGTAATTAGTTAAGGATATCAAGATGAAATCACTCCAGATTTAGGGTGAGTCCTAAATCCAATGATCGGTGTCCTTATAAGAAGAGGAGAGGACACAGAGAGACTCACAGGGGAAAGTCATGTGAAGATGAAGGCAGAGATTGAAGTGATGCATGTACAAGTCAAGAAATGCCAAGGACTGCTGACAACCACCACAAATTAGGAGAGAGGCATAGAAAAGATTCTCCCTCAGAGCCTCTAAAAGGGACCAACAAGGCCTACACCTTCATTTCAGAATTATGGCCTCCTGAACTGTGAGAGAAAAAAATTTTGTTGTTTTAAGCCACTCAGTTTGTGATAACTTGTTACAGTAGCCACAGAAACTAGTACAGCCACCTTAACTTTGATATCTGAACCTGACAAATCACCAAAAATTAGAACTAAAAATCTATCTAATTTATGAATGTAAAAGTATAAATTCTAAATAAAATATTAGCAAATCAATTCCTGAAGAACATTTATTAGAGTATTATCTACAGTGGGCCGGCCGAGTGGCACGTTGGTTAGGAGTTGGCTTGGGACGCCAGCTTTGAGCAGCAGGGCCCTGGTTTGGATCTCACTTGCGGGCCAGTGACGCTGTGCCCTCTACAGCTAAGATGGTGAACAACAGCTCAACCTGGAGCTGGGCTGCCGTGAGCTACCATGAATGGCCATCAGCGGGCGTGAGGTGCCATAAGCCGCCGTGAGCAGCTGTCCAATGGCCGGCGAGTGACTGCCTCACCCAGGAAGAACGCAATGATCACAATACCAACATGGGGCAGTGAAGCAACATCCTCCACAACAAGACTGAAGAACAAAAGGACAGCAACTTGTCTGTTCCCCTTTCCCAATTCCCCAACT